GATTTCTGTGGTAAAGTTAGTCTCAAGAGTCAGTGAATATTATGTTTTACTGCCATAAACCTTTTAAAACAAATTTGTGTTTGTTTTTAAAAGCTATTTACATACATACTATTCATTGACAGAAGCGAGGCTATAATGCAGATTAGACCCGCGCCGACTTTTCACAAGACCCACTTGACCCATTTTGTCTCAAGAGTACCATTATATCTAAATATTTTGTCTTCTGAGTACCGCCAACCAGGTGCAGAAGAGGACTCATTATCAACAGGGCCGTATGATACTTATCTCAATACATATAACACAATATAATACAGTACAGACCAAAAGTTTGGACACACCTTCTCATTCAGAGAAGAGTTTTTTTACTTTCATGACAATGAAAATTGTAGATTCACACTGAAGGCATCAAAACTATGAATTAACTCATGTGGAATTATGTACGTACTTTAAACAAGTATGGAACAACTGAAAACATGTCTTATATTCTAGGTTCTTCAAAATAGCACTTTTTCTCTGATTACTGCTTCACACACTCTTGGCCTTCTCTTGATGAGCTTCAAGAGGTAGTGACCTGAAATGGTCTTCCAACAGTCTTGAAGGAGTTCCCGGAGATGCTTGGCACTTGTTGGTCCTTCCACCTTCACTCTGTGGTCCATCTCACCTCCAAAACCATCTGGATTGGGTTCAGGTCCGGTGACTGTGGAGGCCGGGTCATATGGCCCAGCACCTCACCACTTTCCTTACTGGTCAAATAGCCCTTACACAGCCTGGGTGTGAATCTACAGTCAATAGTCATGAACAGAAAGGAAACTCATTGAATGAGAAAGTGTGTCAAAACTTTTGGTCTGTACTGTACATAGATGCGGGGGACTTCGAATTCGATACAGTTCAATACAATTTTATTTAATAACAAAATACTTTTAGCCCCTAAACTTCTTCTAATGAAAATATATTGTCATTTGCACATTTATTGTCCATTTATCGATTATTAATTAAGGTAAAATCTTCTTCATGCTTCTGTTTGGATAATCTGACAAGAGTAGACATAAAAAATATATTTTAGGTCACTCAAAGCACTTTTTAATTTTGAGAGAGTTCAGATATGTTTCCATTCTTCCATTCCCATTCCATTCCATAAGCAGTGATGACAGAAGAGAGACACAAAAACCCACTTCACCATCCATTCACTCAATCATTACATTCTATTGTACATGCATCACCATGCCACTAGGGCTGGGACATCCCGTCAACGTAATCGATGACGTCAACGCAAAAAATACGTTGACGAAGAACATGCGCATCAATTTGTCAGATTCGACTCAATCTGAAGAGACCAAGACAGAAACATTGATGCTTGAAAAATATATTTTTGTTTGGCACATTGACCCCGGCAGTGACACTTGCAGAGGGGAAATCATTTGCTGCTGAAGAAGATCTCAGATCCCCCAGGGTCAAGCACTGGTGGTGGCTAGAGCATGGTGTGAATGGGGCGTATAGGCGGAGCAGGAGCCAGGTCAGGAGCCAGGTCAGGAGCCAGAGCAGGAGCCCAAGCAGGAGCCAGGGCAGGAGCTTGAGGAGGCGCTGGGTGTTAAGAGCCTCAGGAAGCACTGTTTATCAGGAAGTGGCTGCTTTTAAACTGCACGCTTTGCTGTCAGTGGGTTGGCAAGAGGCTGGCAGAGCTGTATGATTGGCAGAGGCTCGAGGCTGGCAGAGCTGTGTGATTAGCGGAGGCTCGAGAGGCTGGCAGAACTGTGTGATCGGCTGGCCCTGGACGGGTGAGAGCTGTGGCCGCTCTTTCAGTCTGAATTTGCACTTCAGCTTCATAACAAAGAGGGCAGCGAGTAGTAGAAGCAGTAGCAGTAGTAGCAACGCAAGTACCGTCTTATGGGGCGTTCTGACTGCCGACGCTGGAACGCAGTTTCCACACGCAGTTGACCCACATTCTCTAAATTTCAGACGCTAGGGGTGTTAAGACCCGAAGTCCAGGGCTGCGGTGGCGCCCGCTGGAAGTGGCGGAAGTGCTTTGATGCTAACGGAGCTAAACTAGCTGCTTTTGTGTGTAAAGTTCTTCTCCAAGAAGGGGGCTCTGCAGCGTCTCTGTGTACAGAGACCTTCCAGAGACATCCAATGGATGCTCTTTTTAACTGCATTTTAGACCTGAAATCCTGGATGGCAGAAAACTTTCTCCAGCTCAACCAGGACAAAACTGAGGTTTTAGTCATCGGTCCTGAGGCCCAGAGAGAGAAACTTTTACCGAAACTCCAATCACACTCTTTTAATCCATCATCACAAGTGAAAAACCTGGGCGTAATCTTTGACTCTGAGCTGACTTTTATTCCTCACATCAAGAACATCACAAAAATAGGTTTTTATCATTTAAAGAACATCGCCAGAGTCCGCCCCATTCTCTCTCGGGCCAACACGGAGACGCTGATGCATGCTTTTATCACCAGTCGCATTGACTACTGTAATGCCCTGCTCTCTGGTCTTCCCAAAAAGAACATTTCAGGTTTACAATTACTTCAAAACTCGGCCGCACGTGTCCTGACTAAGACCAGGGGGCGGGACCACATAACACCGGTTTTAAAATCGCTGCATTGGCTCCCCGTGTGTTTCAGGATCGATTTTAAGGTTCTTTTAATGGTCTTTAAATGTCTTAATGGTCTTGGGCCTTCTTATCTTTCAGATTTGCTTTTATCCTATGAGCCTTCCCGGCCCCTGCGCTCCTCCGGCAGCAGACTCCTAACCATCCCCAAAGTCAGGACACACACTCACGGCGAGGCATCTTTCCAGCACTACGGCCCCCGTCTCTGGAACAGTCTGCCGGAGGAGCTCAGGGCCGCAGAGAACGTTCATATTTTTAAGAGTAGGCTCAAGACGCACCTTTTTAGAGCAGCTTTTGATTAGTATTTATTATCTATTATTGCTTTTTAGTACATCTATTTATGTTTTTAGACGGATTATATTTTTATTTATTTTTATTATTTACTATTTTTAATTATTTATTGTATCTACCCATTTACTATTGTTATTATATTAGGCAGCTGCCATTTTTCTTTTTATTTTCACATTCTATTGTTCTACTTTCTATTGTATTATTGTATTGTTTTAGTGTCCCCAGTGTTTCCTCTGGAGGAGCCCTCTGCACTGAGAGCTGGGGTCTGCTGTGGCTTCGGGGGACTGGCTCTTGGATCCGGTGGGGGTCTGGGGCCTCCTCTCTCCTCTGGGTCCTATGGGGTCTGAGTCCTGGGCCTGGTGGGGTCTGGGGCCCCTCTCTCCTCTGGGTCCTGTGTCGTTGCCTGTGGCTGCAGCCGGCTCTCTGCTCCTGGTGCAGATGGCTCCTTGGATGACGCTTCTTCAGCCGGTTACATCTGCTCCCAGCCCCATTTCTTTTTATTGTTTTACCTATTTTACCTGATATGACTTTATACTTGTGTGTGTGTGTGTGTGTGTGTGTGTGTGTGTGTGTGTGTGGGTGTGTGTGTGTGTGTGTGTGGGTGTGTGTATTGTATATATAATTATAAATGTGATTTTGGGGGGTCTGTGGGGAGGAGGGTTTAGGGCTGGGCATGTTGGATTGTTTTTAACTAAACTGTAAAGCACTTTGTGTTACACTTTTTGTATGAAAAGCGCTTTATAAATAAAATTTGATTGATTGATTGATTGATATACAGTAATAGCAGTATGTGTTCACGGAGGTGCGGCAACAATACTAGCTGCGCTACATGCTAGATGCGCTAGTTTACAGTCACCGGAGAAGGACAATTTGGGCTGGCATATGTTCACAAGCGCACACAAAGAGACAGACAGTATTCTTGAGGGGAAAGGAAAGAGTCCGAGTCTAAGTTGTTATTTGTTATTTGTGAATGAAGATGATATTTTTCAGTAAGCTAGGCCTATGTTCAACATAACTGTTTAAGTCTAAATGTTTATTTCCATTATTTATTTTTTGTTGGAAAGCACTTTCTGTATTAGCTTAAAGCCCCCCAGTTTGCAGTAGTTACTGTATTCTTGCACTTTTTTTCAGTAAGCTAGATGTCTTTTCAAGGCTTCAAGGTTTTAGGCTACCGCTAATTAAGAATGTCTTATTTGAGGCCTGTCCCTGAAAAGATAGTGTTGAAACTGAAAAGGGGTGTGGACCCGGTCGGACCAGGGCCTTTCTGAGTGGAGTTTGCATGTTCTCCATGTATGCGTAGGTTTCCTCCGGTTTCCCCTACCACTAAAAACATTTACAATAGGTCTGGCATGCGCCTCCTGTACTGGCGACCCGCTCCCATCTCTGTGTGGAGTGAGAGGACAAATGCCAAAAAAAAAACAATTGTTACCCGCTTTGTGACTCTGGTCTGTGAAAGGCGGTATATAATTATAGATTACTTACTTACTGTGCTTGGAACGGGTCAAAACATCTGGAGGCTGTTGTTGCAGATTTTTTGCCTCGTTCTCATTAGTGTGAAGAAAGTTACGTATTGTGCACAGGCTGTGTAACTACAGCAATGTGCCACTTGTTGTTTTAACTCTGCCTTTTGGTGCGTGTGGTTTGCGATGTCGACGAGGTTACTAGATTTTTACATAATTCTTTTTCTAAAAGATTGCTGTTTGGGTCGTTCTTTTACATAAATGTGGTCCTCCATGATCTCTTCTTAAAACTTGTGAGGGCACAGTGAAAGCAACAATATTAGTAGCACCTGTGAAACGAAAACGCGATTCTTGCATCCTTTTTGTCCCTTATCCACCAATGTATTTCAAGATGGTGCATTGACATGGGTAGTCCTCAGCTCCCATGGCCACATACAGGTACAATTCTAAGCCTATGAAAACAATTCAAAAACATGGTGGAGGAAAATATTCTTAAAAATGTCCCATTTGTTATTGGTTAACAAATTTTGTTCATTTGGAGCAACTGTAAACATTGCACAGAGCACCTTTAAGTGTCTCTGAGTGTCCAAAAAGCCCTATATAAGCATGTTGTATTAGTATACTATGTAGCTGATATAACTCACCAGCTTGGTGTGTGTTGACAGTGATATTAGCCAAGGAGCGGGCCGCCACGCCCAGCCCCGACACGCCGTTCAGCGCCTCCACGTGGAAAGTATAGTTGGCGTGCACGGCGTACTCCAGGATGGCCACCGACGTCCCGGTCAGACCCAGTGCTTTAGGGATGAAACGCAGGTCGGGCTCGCACGGTTCACACTGGGTCAACCCACTGTCCGCAGTGTCGCAACGCTGGCACAGGACGTTGTAGGTGAGGTCCTTCCTGTCGCCACTGTCCCGGGGGGGCATCCACTGGAGGAACAGCGCTGTGTCGTTTATCAGGGACACCACGTTCCTGGGCGCAGACGGGGGTCCTATAGGCACATTACACAGGTCCTCAACTCAAAAGATAAGGCGGCTTTTCCATAACATTTCTGTAATGAAGTTGTGGAATTGCTTTGCATCTGTGGTGTAAGTATTTTGTTTACCACATGAAGTATTCTTTGCTTAAAAAAATGTATCCTTCGAGGAGTCATCAGAGTAACATACACACAGACAATGTAACAAAGTAAGTCTTTATTTACTGTATATAGCACAGACCAAGCTCACTCAAAGCGCTTTACAATGTTCAGAGTTCAGATATTGTTCCATTCTCTCCACACGATGATAACGGAAGAGAGACGTTGAACACACTGGCGCAGCAAAGGCCCCTCGAACACCATCCATTCACTCATTACACTCAAACCTACATGTTTTTGTACATGTTTTTAGTGGTAGGGGAAACTGGAGCACATGCAAGCTCCACTCAGAAAGGCTCTGTTCCGGCCGGGCTTTGAACCCAAAATCTTACTGAAAAGCAAGAGTGCTATCCACTCAGCCACAGTCCCTGTTGGGAATTGTGTCCTCTGCATTTGACCCATCCAGCAGTGTCACAATAGCCTCTGTCTCGAGCAGGGGTCGCCTAAGTACAGCGCCCGGCAAACCACATTCATGTTGTTGCCTTGGTCAGAACTACCAGAGCTGGAGGATAATCTTTATTGTACATGTTTTTAATGGTGGGGAAAACCGGAGCACCCAGAGGGAACCTACGCAGACACGGGGAGGGTTAGGGTTGCAAAAACCACTTATAAAGGCCATGTACTGGCCAGTACAGTTTACAAAATAATAGCTATTGGAGAAGCAAAATGTTTAAAAGGCTTCTTTACGAGTTCAGTTCTTGTTTTAAAATTGAAATGGTTCTGTGATCTTGTGTTCAGAGCCATTCATATAACGTTGCTAAAAATTCCCAAAAAAACTAAATAAAAAAAATATTCATGAAAAAAGCAGCAGAGTATCTGTTGAAAAAGAAGCTCTTAACATGATAGAGATATCACTTACTGTGTTTTCATAGTAGAGGTTTTAAGGTTTTTATGCAACGTAATCAGAATGTGAGGAATGTGTGAGAAAGTGAGAAAAGAGCTTAGACTGCTGCATTGTAAAAAATGCACTAATTGTGTTTTGACTATTTTTAGACACAGGATATTGAATCCTCTTAATTTGAATTCTGGTCAAATACGACAGAACTTTAATCTTCTCTAATAAACTCACAGTCCCTGTTGACCGCATGCAGTGAAACAAAAGGCTTTCGAAATCTACAGTTTACCCACATCATTAACGTGGGTATCACAGTTTAAATACAGCTCTAATTGGGATCAATTCTATACAATGGAAATCATTAACACATCATTAAGTGTTTCTACGTTTCCCTGCTTCGTCATCTTGTATCTGCAGCAACAGTTCATTAGAAGGGCATTATACAACTTTTTATGTGAAAAAGTTGATATTTGTGCATATTTTATCTTGTAGTGAACCACTTCCTGTATGAGTGGTCAGAATGATCATGGTTGTGTCAGTGCTCCAAGATTTATTGTTTTGTTGGTTTTCAGGAGCAGGAGATAACCTTCCAAACAATTGTCCTATAGCATCCTAGTGACCACTGTGACCTAAAATTAAGACAGAAAATATGTAAAGATATGAAGTTTTCTTTCGTGTAAAATTGTGTGCAGTGACAAATATCACACCAGATGTTACTTTCACAGTTGAGATGTGGAACCATAAGCTTGGCATCCATTTACATTTAGCACTTATGACATTAAACATAGAAAAAGAGAGAAAAACCCTCAGCACGACAGATGGCACTACGACAGACCGACAACGGCGCGCAGAAAGTGAAATAAAACCATATGACTGCAGAGTGGAACTTACTTGTGCAGGCCATGGTGGAGGGGTCTTTGAGGGCGCGGAAGAAGCTCTTGTCACAGTGGCAGACGGTGGCGGCCTGGTCATGGCTGGAGCTGTGAGGGGGACACTTGGAGCATTTTGTGTTTCCAGCAAATGCCTTGAAGGATCCAGGTTTACAAGCTGCAGACAGGACACAAGTAAGAGTAAGTTCATCTAAATACAACGGTCAATGTCCTAGCGGTGCTCTCGGGTTTAGTTTAGTTTAGTTTAGTTTATCCAGACAAATCAGGACAATGTATAAAAAAGATGCATTGAACCAGGTTACAGCGCAAACTTGCTACTGTAGTTACCACCTGTATAGTTGCTGGGCATTAGTGATAAAATATATAAGATAAGATAAGATAAGATTGACTTAATTGATCTCACACTGAAGAAATGTGCATGTCACATTTGGCATGGATGGAATCACTCAGATGCAAAAGACAGAAGTGTGCAAACATTTTAAAGGTTAATATTTGCATCCCAAAAGAGACATAAAGAATGGGAGCTGAATGACCTTCTGGCTCAATTCAAATATTTTGGGAAATACATAAAACACAGCTTAATATTGCAGAAAATCATCACACTCAAATGCAAAAACAAAAATCAGATGGTGGATGGAAGGCCTGTATGAGTTATTGAAATAAGCTAAGAGATTCATTATTCATCCCACAGTGGGGAAATTTCAGTGTTGCATAACCAGTTAAATAATAGTAGGAATGAGGAGCATACAGCAAAATATACGTGAACAATAACTTTATACTAAAATAAGAACAAATCTCTTAACTTTAGCATAATAAAGAAGTAAGTCTAAAATCTCCAACTTTTGCATAATAAAGACGCTAGAAATAAGAATAAAATCTCTGGGTAAACAATGTCCTGTCACATTTAGGCAAATACATAGTTGTCAGCTTGGTCAATTAGTATTTTGGACGTGTTATGAGTATGAATGGGCCTTTAGTCTATACACTGTGGACTTCTGTAGTAAGTCAGGTGAGGTTGTCAGAATAAAAATAGATGTGTCAAAGAGGACTTACTAATATCTATAATACATTTTACATTTAAAGTTATTTCCCATGTTGATATATTTTGAAAATGCTTACAGAATATCCCAACACAAAGACACGCACACATTAATATCACAGCTGCCTCAAGGTCATGTGTTAAATGAGGAGGAGAAGTTGTTGAGGGGGAAAATAATTGTGGAAGACAGGGGTGTGTCTCACTTCAATAAAAGTGCTCTAAAGTCACAGAAACATTTCGGACTCCTGGGAATCTCATCACGTTGGACTATGGCAATTTTATCGTCCAAGCAAAGAAATATAACACTTTCAACCATATTTTTCACAAGGACAACTCCAAGACGGATAAAGCAGCACTTGACACAGCCCAATTCTCAAGAAAGGGCTTCATTAACATGAACACTTGTTGTACGCTTTATCATATGTGGAATTTAAAATACTTTTTGCTCCACCAAACTTTTCGAGTATGTGATTGATAATACAGTTTGGGGTTTGGTTTTCGGGAAAAGCAGGAAACACGGAGGTCATTCTATAAGTGGCATATTTACATATTAGACTAGTTTTAAGTATGCATGACTTTTTTACTTTTTCATATCTTGTTTGCACCATATACCAAAGCAAATTCCTAGTTTTTGACTTCCTGTTATTTACAATGGCAATACAAATATTTCTGATTCTGATCCTCGTGTCCATAACCCCCACTCATCCTTGGCTGACTGCAAACTTTGATATTTCATAATTTGATATTAAAACAAAAATAAACAGTACACCGTTTTAGGGAGAGAGTTGCCTTAATATAAATTGTGATTTTTCACACACAGTTCCACCTTCTCTGAGATATTGCTCCGACTAGCTGCTGCCAGCGGCAACCTCCACACACATCCATTTGAGTCTCCAGATGCTCTCTGCTCTAAGCTGCATAGATCGGCAACAGAACGCAATTACAACAGTATTTCCATCCAAAATGTCTGAAAGCATCCAACACAAAGTGCTACGGTGATACACAAGCACATACCCAATCTATGCACTATAAGCTGTGTGACTTACTGTAGTAACAGATGCACAAGCACTATTGCAATCTGTATTTTCAAGTGTTTTAAAAGAGAAAGTAATTTCACAAGTTCACATCTCTAGTCGTTATGTCCCTGTTCAAGATCTAAGAGCAAGATCTAGGATCTGAGTGAAATGAAATATACAAACAATGTACAGTACCTTGCACCCCCTTGAACCTTTCAACATTTTGCCACATTTCAGGCTTCAAACATAAAGATATAACATTTTTTGTCATGAATCAACAACAAGTGGGACACAATCGTGAAGTGGAACGCAATTTATTGGATAATTTGAACTTTTTTAACAAATAAAAAACTGAAAAGTGGGCCGTGCAATATTATTCGGCCCCTTTACTTTCAGTGCAGCAAACTCACTCCAGAAGTTCAGTGAGGATCTTTGAATGATCCAATGTTGTCCTAAATGACTGATGCTGATAAATAGAATGCACCTGTGTGTAATCAAGTCTCCGTATAAATGCACCTGCTCTTTGATAGTCTCAGGGTTCTGTTTAAAGCACAGAGAGAACCATGAAGACAAAGGAACACACCAGGCAGGTCCGAGATACTGTTGTGGAGAAGTTTAAAGCCGGATTTGGATACAAAAAGATTTCCCAAGCTTTAAACATCTCAAGGAGCACTGTGCAAGCAATTATATTGAAATGGAAGGAGTATCAGACCACTGCAAATCTACCAAGACCCGGCCATCCCTCCAAATTTTCATCTCAAACAAGGAGAAGACTGATCAGAGATGCAGACAAGAGGCCCATGATCACTCTGGATGAACTGCAGATAACTACAGCTGAGGTGGGAGAGTCTGTCCATAGGACAACAATCAGTCGTGCACTGCACAAATCTGGCCTTTATGGAAGAGTGGCAAGAAGAAAGCCATTTCTCAAAGATATTCATAAAAAGTCTCGTTTAAAGTTTGCCACAAGCCACCTGGGAGACACACCAAACATGTGGAAGAAGGTGCTCTGGTCAGATGAAACCAAAATCGAACTTTTTGGCCACAATGCAAAACGATATGTTTGGCGTAAAAGCAACACAGCTCATCACCCTGAACACACCATCCCCACTGTCAAACATGTTGGTGGCAGCATCATGGTTTGGGCCTGCTTTTCTTCAGCAGGGACAGGGAAGATGGCTAAAATTGATGGGAAGATGGATGGAGCCAAATACAGGACCATTCTGGAAGAAAACCTGTTGGAGTCTGCAAAAGACCTGAGACTGGGACGGAGATTTATCTCCCAACAGGACAATGATCCAAAACATAAACCCAAATCTACAATGGAATGGTTCACAAATAGACGTATCCAGGTGTTAGAATGGCCAAGTCAAAGTCCAGACCTGAATCCAATCGAAAATCTGTGGAAAGAGCTGAAGACTGCTGTTCACAAACTCTCTCCATCCAACCTCACTGAGTCCGAGCTGTTTTGCAAGGAATAATGGGAAATAATTCCAGTCTCTCGATGTGCAAAACTGATAGAGACATACCCCAAGCGACTTGCAGCTGTAATTGCAGCAAAAGGTGGCGCTACAAAGTATTAGCGCAAGGGGGCCAAATAATATTGCACGCCCCACTTTTCAGTTTTTTATTTGTTAAAAAAGTTTAAATTATCCAATACATGTCGTTCCACTTCACGATTGTGTCCCACTTGTTGTTGATTCTTGACAAAAAAAATATTTTTTATATTTTTATGTTTTGAAGCCTGAAATGTGGCGAAATGTTGAAAAGTTCATACTTTCGCAAGGCACTGTATGTCGTCTATAGAACACCGTTCTTACCAAAAGCCCTTTACACTGTGGTGGTTTGCTATTATAGCCACAGCTTCCCTGAGGCCAACTGATGGAAGGCGAGGCTGCTTATCTTCTATTGGCCTCTTCTACTACCAACAATAATTCACACATACAAACAACGACAAGTGCGCATACACACACACACACACACACCAGATACATACAATAGTGTCTTGCTTGAGGACACTAAAGCTGCTTGCACTTTAGAGCTACGACACCTGACCCAACTTTCATATGGCACTTTACACTGAGGTTCATGTATTTACAGGAGAATCTGGTAATTGATAACAATATTAATAATAATAATAATAACATTGATTATGATCATTACTCTATACCACTCTATACTACCATTAATATATTCTTAACCCGCATAAACAATTGTCTTTGAATTTAATCAGGGAAGTCAACAACAGTCGAATTTCAAACCACACTCAAAACCCATATTCAGGCTGGCCTCATCATTGTGACCTTATATTCCACTGTCCATTTTTTCTGCTTTTAACATTGTACCTTTTGTAAGGCAACCTTGAGTGCCCAGAAAGGCACCATATACATAAAATGTATTATTATTCTTATTTTTTTAATGTACCAAGATGTCTTATATCTTTACGGTGCCATCACTAGCTTGAAAGGGGAAAAACAGACAGAAGACTGGACTGACAGAATTATTGATAGGTATATGTATAGGCAGATAGATAGGTTGTGATTGTTCTGTATGCGTGCGGTGTGCCGAAACAGATGGACGTATACAGTGTGTTTACTGAGGTCTCTCTGCTTTGATATGCAGATGGGGAGTCCACACAGAATGACTGATGCTGATATTTAAGCTCAGAGCTTAAAAGACCGACGGCTCCTCACAGTTGCCACAGACGCGTCATTGATTTGAATGTAATTTCTAAATGTTCAAATTGTTCTACCAGTCATTCCTCTAAAACTAATATTGACTCCTGCCCATGGCCACACAATTTGCCTCGTAATTCAGGTGTGTAAAGATTACTCCGCAAAGTCCAGCTGCTTCGTCAACGAGCTTTCAGCAACAACACAGCGCTTGTGAAGCTGTCAGAGCTAGCCACGCTTGCTCTGCTCAATAAACACAATTAACAATCAATCAACACATTTAAATGTTAATCGGATAATACGTTATACATATACATTCTTAGTACACATGCACAGAGGTTTTCAGAATTATCCGTTAACGTCGAATGACAAAAGTTCTAGTTTTTAAGTAGCTGGCATCGCCTAGCCACAGCACAGCCAAACCTCTGGGAACTATTTTATTTGCAGTCATTAAATAAAACTTTCGGCATTCATAAAAGTGGACTGAAGTTTATTTTGTGTGCTCAGTTGGCACATAGAGGTATAATAGGCGGGATGATGTATAGAACACAGGTCATTATCAGAAATTAGTACTTTCAGTTCAGTCCGGTTTGCATATGCGTCTGGATTCAAGGCCAACATA